GGTTTAGGGTTTAGGGGCTTTCAGGGGTTGGGATGCGGATTTTGGGGCGGGTTGTAGGTGCCAGCTGCTCTACGGGTAGCTTAGGATTTGGGGAGACTCTGGGGTTTAGGGGTCGGGGGATTTCATCTGGGTTTTGTGTTATCAGGGTGGAGGGTGTAGTTCTCGTAGGTCATCCTCCCCCTTTTCACTACAACTGGAATAGGTAACTGAGCACATGAGCGGCTTCTGCTGCCAGGTAGATGTGCTTCGGCGGTTATCATATAGTTATATTCAGTATGTTTTCCTTGCGTGATACCATTGCGAATCGGCGGCATAATCTGCTTGACCCGCTCGTTGGAGTGGGTCAAGCGCGCCTTGGTTCGAGTCTTGTGTTTTAGTTTATGTTTGTACACGAATTCATGCTCACAAACAGGCGTGCCTTTTTCCTCTTGTTCTACACATGGGTTTTGTCAGAGGGTTTACGTCGTTGTTGTCCATAGGAATTTGGACTTGGACTTTAGTGCAGGATCTAGTACGGTCGGCTAAGTTTCTTCGAGTTTCTTTAGGAATACCACTGCCGCCATGTCGCAATTGCTCTTGCTGTGATGATGTCAGGCTATAGAAGATGCAGGTCGTCCAGAGCCTGAGACAAGAGTCATGTTGCATGCCGTGCGCCGAGCTGTTTGAAGCTTCGGTTTTGTCGCGTTTGGGGGTTTGTAGAGTGAGCGTCGCAGTAGGCAATGTAATCACGCAGCGCCAAGAAGCAATCAGCAAATATATCCGGCGTGGAGAGAAGGTGTCGGGACAGCACGGCAGGAGAAGTGGACAGAGAATCAAGAGTAATCAAGAATAACAAGTGATAGTTCAGCTCGAGTCGAGCAAGACTAGTACATGAGGTTCATCACAATGCTGTGCCAGCCAGCAAGGCGAACGCCAGGAAGCTGGTCCGCTGCCGCGAGCGCTTGAAGGATTGCGGGTGCTACTACGACGACGACGACGACTACTACTACTACTACTGCTGCTACTACTGCTGCTACTTTTACTTCTCCTGCTTTACTTCTCCTACTTCTACCCGTTTTTTTCTACTACTTCCGCTTTTATCTCTGCCACTTCTACTTCTGCTTGCTCCTGCTGCTCCTGCTCCTGCTTCTACTGCTACGACGCCAGCTGTGACGACTTTCCTGCTACTACTTGTCTGAGTCTGTGACGCGCACTACGACTTCTGCGCTGCTGTCACTCTCCTCCCAAATGTCGCCACATCTCCTAGTACTTGTTGCTTTTCTTGCACTCGATGCCTTGAGCTGAATGGAGACCAGAACGGTTAATTACCCTGAAGTTGGTCAAGAAGGCCATGGTGATGGTAAAGATGGTGATGGTGTTGCTGATTGTCATTATTGCCATCGGGCGACCATGTTTGCTATTACCACGACGATGATGATGGTTATCATTGTCACAAAAACCATCCTGGACAGCATCAGCGCCGCCATTATGATCAACATCATTGCCATCGTCATCGTCATCACACAATCTATGTGTTTTTCAACTGCATCTTAACCATCATCTTCAGGTTATTCATCTCCAGCATGCATCATCGTCGAATCTTCATCAACGCTACGATCAGCATCATTCGCCCCGGCCAGGACAAGGACATGCAGGAGATCCTGTCCGTCCCCGAGTTTTCCTCCACCTGTCCCCCTTTGACTTTGTGCTGTGTCGCTGCTTGGGGGACCCTGAGGTCGAAGATGGATCAGGAGCCTGCGACCCGGTTCTGGAGACCTCTAAGTAGCGTGAGAATTCGCCAACCATCGTGATTGTCACTGTTGGGGTCAGTATGGTTTTGGAGGCTTCGGCAATTTTCCGAGTGTTTCCATGATCAGTATTGCTTGTCTTCAGCACAAGTTCTGCTGCTGCTGCTGCTGCTGCTGCTGCTGCTGCTGCTGCTACATGCTGCATCAACGACGACGACCGCGACGACGACGAGGACGACGACCGCACGGCGACGACGACGACCAACGGCGATTCTATCTTTTGGCTACTAATCGTCTTGCTGGTACGACTATTACAACTAAAGCAAGTATTTCTCGGAGGGTCGTGATCATGTTTGATGTCTTTCCTCTGGAGCTCCAATTGGGATCGCTCAAGGCTTGCGTATGAGGAGGTGGATT